TCGCGGGTCTTGCCTGTCTGGGTACTAGGTGGGGTGGAGGTAAAATATTATTAGCTTATAAGTGAAAGAATTATAAGCTGATTTTATGTTTCTTGGTTTTTACTTTTTCTTGTCCATTTAAATGATGGGATAGTTAGACACATATCGCAATCTACCAATTTATTACGCATGAAATATGTAACCATGATGGTACGAAATAAGACTAACATATCTCTGCTCGTTATCATTATTAATATTCGACTTTATTTTTCGTTACACTAAAGCATGAAATCGTATAAATCTTGGTTAAAATAACAATTATTAACCCGCCATCTACCATGAATTAAAGTGTTTGCATCTAGTGAAGACAGCATAATGGTCCCATGCATTTGTTCTTGCCCTTGTACTATTAATACAACATTAATTTGCTGCAGCTTGACATATTATTGGCCACCCCCACTTAACAAATCTGCTGCACACGCAGCAGATCAAGAAAGAAAAGAGTATCACCAATACAAAACTTTTCTTCTTTCATTTTAATTTCCATCCCACCTACTGCACAATTAATAAAGTAGTCTCAACCTTCTAAAAGAAGTAAATTGGTACTCAAATTTATATTGTACCTGCACAATCAATCCCGAAGACATAACGGTTCAAGTTCATTAAAATACCCTCGTACATCTAACTTCACGAAGCTAGATTTAGGTGCTTAGTAAATTGAAGATAGACATGGTTTTATGAAGTCTACACGACAAATTTATTATTATTATTATTATTATTATTATAGACAGTTCCTTTTTGAGCGGGATTGGAACCAATTTCTAATTTTATTTTATTATTATTATTTTTTCACATGGACATGTTGCTCCAGTCCAAAATATTTTTTAATTCACTCTAATTTGAAATTCTGGCTCCGCCCTTATTTATCTTTTTTTTTGGATAGGGTTTATATAGTACAATTGTAATGAATGGTGAAGATCAACTTCCACATTTTTTTAGGTTAGGAACCAATTTGCTGTCCAATAAGTTGAGGATCAATAATGCAAATTTCTCATATTTTAACTCACTGTATATGCTTTTCTTGGTTAAGAAGACGTTAGAGAAAAGGCTAAAGCTCGCATGGTTTCCCTGTGTCAAAAATCTATTTTTTAAAGAGAGAGAATATAACAAATTGACATATTTTTACTAGGAATGCGTGGTATTTAGCTTCTGTTTGATTGTTGGGGATTAAAAATTAGATTTTTAACAAATTTTGATAAAAGTTATGAAATATACGGTCAAAAATTTTGGATCTCATAAAATATGTGATTAAAATTAATTGTTGATTTTGACTTGATTTGTACCAAATAGGGAATAAAAATTTGAATGGTGTACTCTCTTAAAGTCGCAAGATTGATTGTGTAACTATGAGCAGAGTAATATACATCCTTAAAATGTAAAGATTGATTGTGCAAATATAATGAAAGATTTGAAATCAACTTGTTACTAAGATGATAAGTTGGGGACCAAAGGTGAATATTTTCCATTAAGATATGAGTAATGTTATTGAGCTCCACTTAAATGATAAATACAATTAAATCAGTAATTTAAGTTCACATTTCATGTGGCCTACAATTATCTATGTTACGTTAGGTGATAGACTAAGCGCCTGTTTGACAAATGAAAGGTATAATGAAGTGAAGTTACATAAATTGAAGTTACAGCCTCCATTTGACCCTTATTCTTTCCAAATTTTAATGGTTGGAATAATGTTTTTTTTTTTTTAAATGTGTGGTTGAAAAAGAATGAAAATTTTTTAATTTACATATAATATTATTTTATGAAAGATTGTGTGATTAAAAATAAAATAGAGAAAAGGAATAAGAAAGTGAATGAGGGTCAAACGGGGCATCGAGAGTATATGATATTAGTCTTTAAGAGAGATATATACACACATGGCATTTCCCCGAAACAATTGGCAAAGCAGCAAAATTGCAATGGAAGGCAGTGCTGACAACTGACAATTGCAGGTAACACCTGAGGGTGAAAATTGGAGGATCGCTGCCCAAGAATTTGTAAGCAGTGAAGTGGGAAAAAAGAGAGTTTTTTTTCATTTTTTTTTTTTTTTTTTTTTTTTTTTTTTAACGAGGTGTCCCAGCTTGCGCCAGACTATATCCTCGCCCCTGAACCTCCGGCCCCTCAGCTGCTCAGGGAGGTAAATCGCAGGATGTGCCCTTGTTGGTTCCCAGATTCCCACATGACTTTTACTCCTTCCCCAAAGAGAGCCCTTGTTGGTAATATGCATGCTTGATACAGATCTTTGCCACATTCCAATTAGGATTTTTTTAGTGTACCTCGAATCCCTATACCTACCAGAGTGGTCAACGGTCAATCAAATGTATATTCAGAGGGTTAAGAAAAAAAAAAAAAAGAAAAAAGTTGAACCCCAATCTTAAGGGCCACCATCGCCTCGCCCCTAGAGTTTTGTGAGGGAGGTAAATCGCGGAATGTGTACCAACATGTCAGGGAATAAGAATTGTCTGTACAACGCCTACAAAGAGTCCAATTTCATGTCTCAAGAATTGAACCCCCACACTGTGACTACCAGCAAGGCATGAGATAACCTCACTCCTATCATTTGCACCACTGAACTATGCTCCGGGGAGCGTTTCAAAGGGTTAAGCTACATGTACATTATGATATCTTTGTTCATAATATACAAGTGACATAACATTATTGAAAAGTTGAAAAACAATTTTTTCAATCCTCTAATCATGAATTTCCACGTATACATTGTATAATTATCTATATTCAAATATGTGAATTCGTATAAAAGGTAGATGATAAAGCCCTTGTTTGAGCCCCATTTTTTTTCATTCATTTTTATTGTTTTTTCTATAATACTTATTTTCAATTACACATTTTTTATTAAATTAATATTATACTCAAATCAAAACTTTTTCTTCTTTTTTAATCATATATTTTTCATAAATTTACCATTCCATAATACATTACAAAAAATTAATGAGACTCTAACATGGCCAAAATTACATGTAATTTTCACGCTGATAAGTGGCTGAACAATTTTGTCATCTAAATTTATGTTACTTGATGCTGTCCACATTAACATTTCTGTTTGGATTTCACTGTAAATATTATCCTTATAATTTAAGTCAAAGTCGAACATATTCACTTATTATTTACACATTTTGTGGGATTTCTTGCTCGTCTTCATAATTATCTCATTTTCTTTTTCTTCAAACAAGCTTTACATGCAAAAATCAATTAATTATTACTAGGAGCGAGCACGGTCCGATTCGAAAGAGAATCGAATATCAATGGAAATTATAGAAATGAAACCATTTGTTTCATAGTTAGCTATGGAATCGAATCGGAACTGAACCAATCTGTTCCGGTTTGGTTCGGTCCGATCCGATTCTTTACATTAAAAATGTCAAAATAAAATATTCATTAATAAAAAATCTAAAGATGCTACCAATGTGATACTTTAAACAAAATATAGAAGGATCGAACATACTATTCAAAAATTAAATTTAAAAACAATATTCAAATAATATAAGTTACTATCATTAAACAATCATTAACTTATATAAATTGTATAGTACACCAATGATTAAACAAACTTCCATCAAAATCAAAATCAAAATCCTATATTGAATTAGACACCCTTTAAAAATTTAATGCAACTTCTGGTTCTGTCGATTATAATTTGTAGAAATTTAGGTGAAAAGTTTCGATCGGATCAATAATTATGTAATCAAATTGAAAAAAAAAATTCACATTTTAGAATCAAATTATATATTGTAAATAAATTTATTTAGGTATAGATTCACCTAATATTCTAATTTGACTTGAAAATCAATTAATAAAAGAATTATAAGAAGATAGGATCAAAGGGAAGGAGGAAATGCTGGGGTCTAAAATGAAGAACAAACCCAATTATTTTTGACAAAACTGATGGAGATTGAGTATATATTTTACCAAAAAAGAAAAAAATTCTATGAGAATCATTCGGTTCCCGACAGTTCCCATACTGAAATCGGGAATCGGATTGGAACATGTTAATTCTTAATAATTTGCCTCAAAATCAAATCGTTTTTAGAATATCCAGAATCGAACCGATCGGTTCTCAACGGTTCTGGGAAAAAATGTCCACTCCTAATTATTATAACCTTTGAGTTAAAATAAAATTTTTATTAGATTTTAATAAAAGTTGATAAAATGTATGATTTAAAAAAGTTGTAAATCTCATGAAATATGTAATTAAAATTAATTATTAATTTTAATTTTTTTATTAATTTTTAATATACACCAAACAAACATGGATTAAGAATAAAGAAACAAAAGAACACGATTTGATTGTTCAGAGTCTTTGGAATCACTCACCAACCCATGTTCCATTTAGCACAAAAAATAAATTGCATGCAATTAAACCCTGACCCACCCATACCTTCATCCTATCAAAACAATCCACGTGTCCTACTACCCTATACTTTCCATTGTGTGGACAGCTGGGCCCCTCACGTCCTCTGAAGCAAGAGCCAAATTTTAAGAATAATTCTCTGTCCCGGGTTGGGGACAGGGAGAAGGACGGGGCGCCATCTTGTCCCTGACTCTGTGTCCAACTCGGGCCAGAGAGCAAGGCTCAAATTTTAAATTTCAATATTATACTGTACAATGAACGGAGCCTACTGTACAGCTTCTCAATTAACGTACAAGTTTTATAGTTAACAGTACTGAATATATTGATGTATATTTTCCGTCATATAACGACGAGAGATTTAACGGCTTTATGTCCCTTTATAAAAAAAGATTAAACCTTAACCTTGAGGGTCCTCCAAAATTCTATCCTGGAGTATCGTAAGGGAGGTAAATCGCAGATTATGCCTTCAAGGGTATAGGGTGGAAAGCTGCTTGTACACTTGCACTTACCCAAGAGCCAAATACATATTTCAGGATTCGAACCCTTGACGCAGTAATCTCAAGCAAAACTGAATTTCTCCACCCTCCTCTTTTATCACTCGGAGGGAGGCCGCTTTAAAAATTTTAGCATAAGACGCCCAGTCGTTCTTTTCTTCGTCTCTTTTCCACTTTTTGTTTCCATATATATATATATATGTTCACCACCCCCTCCCCCACGGACGCCACCTCCCGCGTTGGCATGGCGTTTCTTTATAAATTCTAACGTGAAACCTGCAGCAAACATTTCGAAAATTTCCATTTGAAGCTCCTCTGTATCCGGGGAAAAAAAAAAAAAAAAAAAAAACCAGATCGGCGCTGGAGGCATGCCGGCGTAAAATCTTCTGTCCATAAGATTTCACTTCTGTCATTCCAGCTGGATTATATATTCACTGCTTACAGATATTCGATTTTTTGTATCATTTCTGGGATTTTTTGAATATTTTAAGAATTTGAAGAAATGCCAGAAATCAGCGGCATTTGAAGCAGCTCGTTTTGAAATTGAGGTAAAATCACTTATTTTCGCTAGAAAATCTTTATCGACACGTGTGTGTAATCACCTTTTTTTTTTTTTTTTTTTTTTAAATTTTCTCCCTACTCATTGATTATGCATAAAGTTCTTCAATTTTTTATTATTTATTTTTATGCTAAAGTTATCAAGAAAAAAGAGAAACCAATTGAAGAAGGCGTCGAGCGGTATCTCAGGTAAGTCTCTATCATCAGTTGTTATGAACACAGTACGGATTTTCTCTTTCATTCTTTTGTCTGAGTTCGCATTCATAAACTGCTTTCAAAACTCGACACACTCTGCATTCATTAATTTATTTCTACAGCTATTTCTCATTCAATATTCATTCTTATCCCAGTCCGCAAAGTCGGTTTTGATGAAAGAATGAATAGGTATAAATCCAAGTTAAGAGTTTTTTCTACACCACCACGGCTGAAAAACCTGTATACAGCTGTATCTATAACTCCTCCTATTTATGCATAGCATTAGTATAGGATTTCCGCTTTGCATTTTTATTTTTAATTTTTTAAGTTTTCCTTTCTCTGCCATTTTCTTTTTTATTTTTCGGCAAGACAAATAAAGTACTTATACCAGTCTTGCTTTTTCCCGTGTCCGATGGTGGGGTCCAATTTTACTTCCCTTTTGTGGGACCCATCTAAATTTTATTCTTATTTTTAGGGCTTGGATGGACTAGGTGGTTTTGTATTGGGCTTTTGTTTGGATTGGAATGGAAATAGGTTGTCTGGGAAATAAGGGACCGAAGGAATTAATCTGTTTGTACATTCTGCCTCATACATATCTTGATAGATTGCTTACATAGCAGTTTTCTATTGGCTGATTTAAACGTGTGAGATGTAAAACATGATACGACGTCTTGTCAAGTGTAAATTTTTTAAGGGTGTAAAATAGGATGTATACGTACCAAGATTGGGGATGGAAATGTTCATTTCCTCATATTTTGCCTTTCCATTCCTAACATATTATCCTGGCTATTGTTCCAAATTATCCTCGTCTTTGTTGACATTCAGCATTTTTCACAAATTTTACATAGAGAAACTCGATTTTCCCTTCTCAATGAACAAACAATGTCAGGGATGGCAGTGGGTTGGGTTGCCCCGTCCGACCCTGCCTTAGACGGGCCGGTGCGGGCCCTGTTTGCTGACTGCTATAATTAGGGAATAAAATATAAATTCAAAATTTTAAAATTCAAAGCAAATAATACTACAATTAACAATGCCAATATCCCGGGCAAACTTTTAATTTTTAATTTTCTCTCTTCACGGGGTGGCGACTTACGCTCCCGGGGGTTTTTCTGCCATCTCTAAACAATGTCAACCATTTTTCACCTTTCCCTTTTCTACAAAACAATGGGAACATGTACAATTATCACCTGTCATTTTCTTTCTATCCTCTTTCTCGCCAAACCAAATGCACTCTAAAGCATTGTTTGGGACCTAAATATGAATTTTTTCCCCACCTCATGGGGAGAATAGGACCACATGTGAAGAGGGTATGCCGAACTTTTGAGTTGGGACACTGTTAGCAAAGACAAGGACTTAAAACTGTGGGGCGAGACAATCTTGGATCATGTGTCCAAATCTTGGTCACAATATGCTCGTCTTTAATTGTTCCTTCTCCATCATTAATCACTTATCTTTCTATGATTACATATGATGAGAAGAAAAATTGGATACGACGCATAAATTTTCCTCTCCATGGGATATTTTTTATAATTCAATAAACGATGGGAGGTTGATGCGGACCCTTGCGAATATTTTACAAAAGAAACACGAAAATTATACTTGCAAAGAACAATGACGCTAACAGAACTACTTTTTTTTTTTTTTTAAATCTCAACAAGCGAAAAGAGAATCTTAATCATAATATTTATTGACATATTTCTCTTCTTGCACAAATAAAAACGGTTGATCAGTATCATCAAGTTCTCATTACCTTCACATTGTGAAGCAGATTAAGGATATGGCATTGAAGGTTTCGGAAGCTTACAAACAATGCAAGCCCGGGACTGGAGATGGCAACTACAAGAAAGGGCCAAGAGCATATCCTGGATTCGATACCATTTCAGAGGGTGTTCCGTACCCTCTTGTGCAGCCAGGAAGTTCAACTTCTACTCCAGCTTGGGATTTTACGAGCATTGGACATCGTGCTGCTCGACCGGACTCTAGATTTAATGGGGCGTTTAATGGTGACAGGATACCCGGCAGACAAGAATGTATCTCGGCCCAGTCTGGTGTTATGCTTGTGCAAAATGAAGATGAACCAAAAGAGTGGATGGCACAGGTGGAGCCTGGTGTTCAAATTACTTTTGTGTCTCTCCCTCATGGTGGGAATGACCTTAAACGGATACGGTTCAGGTAACTACTGAACACCTATCGTCGTTAACGAGTTCTAATCATCATATCAGTATCTGAAAGATATGCAACTAGATTGTTCTATATTGATATTTCTACTGGGGGTGTTAATTTGATTTAATATCATGCTAATGTCTTTATCGAGTGTGAAGCCGGGAGATGTTCAATAAATGGCAAGCTCAGAGATGGTGGGGTGAGAATTATGATAGAATAATGGAGCTCTACAATGTTCAGAGATTCAACCAACAAGCTCTCAACACTCCCGGAAGATCTGAGGACGGGGTAAATCACATTTGTTTTTCTGTATTGTGTTTTTATTGAGAGCAAGGCTTAGTTTGTTGTGTAAGCTAATTGAAACTCTCGATTCCTATTTCTGCAGAGAGATTCTACTTACTCAAAGCATGGTTCTGTCATGGAAAGTCCTCGGATGACTCCATCATTGAACAGAGAGTGGACTCCATCTCCAAGGTACAAACCTCCTGACCATCTTCAAGGTGCGCCCTGTCAACATTTCAATGCTGGATCAAGCGCTTACATGGCTGGTGGCCCCAAGGGCGAAATGTCGTCTATGGATGCGTCAAGAACAACAACTTCCTCACGAGACGAGGCTTCAGTTTCTGTAAGCAATGCAAGTGACATTGAATCAGAATCGATTGAACAGGATGAACCTGGAGTTTATATTACCATCAGACAACTGGCTGATGGCACTAGGGAACTGCGGCGTGTCAGATTTAGGTAATTAAGTTCTGCATCCGTAAAAATTCCAGAAATGAACTTGATGAAAGTTTTTTACGGCAAACTATTGTCCATGACCGTGCTTATTTGATGCAGCCGTGAAAGATTTGGCGAATTGCACGCAAAGCTCTGGTGGGAAACAAACCGGGAGAGAATACTTACTCAATACCTTTGATACTATGGAATGGAATGCTAGAACTCCATGTGGAACAGTTCCATTTTTGCATCAGGGCTTGCAGAATGGAGACTCAACAAGATGATTCACCAGCATCGCGCTAAAGTTACTAAGCCAAAATTATCCGACTCTGTAGGATTTTTAAGTTACAAGTATTCACATTGATTTCCTTCTCACATGTTTTTTTTCCTGATCAGTAGTTTATTATAGTCTATACCATGATTTTGAAAATTCCTGTAGGCCTTGTTTTCCCCTGTATCTTGTCATGGTCCTTATCCGATGGAATCATCTCTCATTTGACAGTTGGTTTGTTTATTTGTAATTAAAACTTTCTGGGATGAAAAAATTATAAAGGGTTAAATACACGGATAGCCACCCAACTTTATATTTAGGCCCTGTTTGAACTCCATTGTTTTCTCATTAAAATAAAAAATATGATCGTTATTCATCGCATCAAGTCATCATATTTGATTTTTTATCTCTTGTAAGGACGGCTATATTTTTCATTCTCATTTTTACAATAACGTGGCTCAAACGGAGACTTAGTGTCGCCATGGTCATTCAATTTGATTTTGTTTCACCATGATCATCAAACTTTATATTTAGTGTTACCATAGTTGTTGCGTGTTGTCACACTTGTCCTATCCACCTGGGCCAGTAGGCCACTCATCCTGATCCACGCGGCATTCCTGCCGAGGTGGCCCATATTGCCGAGGTGGGTTACACCCGAACTGCTTCTAACCGAGGCCCATGGCCCGAGGCGTGGAAGGTTTTGTTGTAGCTGAGGTCCTCGAATGGACGAAGCTCCGAAGTTGATGCGCGAGCCTCAACCACAAGGAAACATCCTCCATGGTCACTTCTCCCAAGGGATCCCCTGCACAGATCTTATTCGAATGATTGATGGAATGTTTGTCATAAGCATAAAGGTCAAGTCTTGTCACTAGCGTGGAGGTCCTGCACAAACAATAAATGCGCCGTAAGCTAGCAAGTCAAATCCCATGCCTATGAACAGACATTTAAACTATGGAGATGAGGCCACGTGCCACTTCATCCAAGGGTCCCCATTCCATATGTATCACTATAAATACCCCCATTGTATAGTGTCAAAGGACTAATGCAAGAATCAATACAAAAGACTATATTTACTCAACTCTCTCAGTTACTTGCAATACATAAATCGAGTTTATACACTTTCACATATATATTTGCGACCACCGATTGGTAATTATTGTACAATCAGATTACGAGTAACTCGTCGGATTCCGAACGTCACCGTCCCGCGTTGTTGGGCTACTCCCACGCCCATTTGAACCGCTTATTGTAGACCGTCTACGTGTCTTAGCGTGTTGGACATTCGCCCACGCAAGCGCGGGTGGGACCGGCATCTGTTGGCGCACTTTTTGGGGTCAACAGATTGGCGCCGTCTGTGGGAATCCATACCATAACCACGAGCAACCTTGTGGTAAAAGCTTGCTGAAAAAATATTTGGGCAACCCCCCTTAAAAAGGACTTGTTCTTGAAAGATAACAGGAGGAACCCCTACCACTTGGAGAAAATCTAAGTTTGATAAAGGAAAAAATGAGTTCTAACGAAGATACTCCCCCAAGGAGGGTAAGAGAAAACACGAATGTGCCTCCCCAGCCTGCTGCCCCAGCAGCCCGGCAGAGGCTCCACCACCACTAAAGGAGAGGTGGGATGCGTGCGACGGCACGACTATCAAGAGAAATGGCTACTATGGCAGCCAACATGAGGGATATAGCCAACCAAAACTTGGCCATGAGGGAGCTCATGACCCAGATGCAAGGCCAAGGAGGTTTCCCCATTCCTCCATATGCCCCCCATGGGCACTATCAGCAAGAGGACGAGGTCCAAAGTCATAGAGCAACCTCACCAGACTATGGCCGAGGTGAAAGTCCATTCGTGAGGGAAGTGGGAGTTGACATTTCCTCCAATTATGCATCTGGCCGACCCTCCGAGGTCCAAATGAGCCATGATAACTTCCCACCTCCGTATGAGCAAGACCCAAGACAGAGGAGAGCAGGAAGTGTTTTTGACAGAATCAGCCATGCCGAACCAAGGCCCAGTCAACAGCAGGCTCAGCAGCCTCGGACGAGGCCACAGCCTCCACCTCCAATGCCCCAACGGCCGGAGAGAAGGCATGAAAATGCCCCTCGCACTGTCCCGCTAGAAGAAGGCCGCAAAGGAGAGAGGAAGAGGCTAGGAATCGGCCAGGACCCTCTCACCAACAACCTAGGTACGAGGTCGAAGATTACGATCCTGATGAGCAGCAGAGGTCCTGTGACTTGGATGATGATGATGAGAACCTGCCATTCTCAAGAGAACTAAGAGATGCCCATGTCCCGAGCCACTATGTCATGTCGAAAATACCAAAGTATGACGGGAGAGGTGACCCAGAAAAGCACCTCAACGCTTACAAAACTCACATGAGCCTGAGGGGCGCCACTCCAGCTGTGAAGTGTAGAGCATTCCACTTAACCCTCAGTGGAGCGGCTGAAATCTGGTATAGCAGGTTACCATCTGGGAGCATCCGAAGCTGGCCCGATTTCAAAACTACCTTCTTGAAGAGGTTTGCAGTGAGTAAGGAAGGAGAGGCCCCCATTCAGCGTCTTCAAGACATGAGACAGGCACATGGCGAGTCCTTGAAAAGCTTCCTATCCCGCTTCACTGACGAGATGACCTACTGTGTACAAGTCACCGACAGGGAAGCACTATCTGCATTGAGAGGAGGATCGAACATGAACACCTTATTCTGGAGGGATGTGCAAAATCAAGACCCAACCACCTATGACGCCCTACTAGAGATGATGAGAAGGGAGATAATCAATGAAGAATTGATTGAACATAGAAACAGGGCAAGCAGGGGCCTCCCACCACCTCAGAGACAGCGAGGTAGGGGTCCGACCTCCCACCTCATGGACTACCAGATGAACCGATCTGGAAATGAGAACTCCGGCCAAGCTTTGGCCACCACAACTCTGAACGCGGTACCAACCTTGGCGTATGAGGATGTCAGCCCAACCGCTGACCCACATCAGATGCAGGCCCAGCAGGAACCCCGTAGGGGAAGAGGCTGAGGTCGAGGTTTTGCACCTAGAAATAGGTCCAATCCGAACCTCCCTGGATACTGTTTGCACCATAGGTCCTACGGGCACGACACTGCGGATTGCAGAGACTATGCACACCGCTCGCGGCAGAAACCCGCCAGGGAAAGACATAACTCGCCCCAGACGAACAGGCCCCCGCCCAGGCAAGACAACCGACATGGGCGTGAGGCGGCCGCTCCTCGTCAAAGGGATGTCTCCCCAAGGCGAAGAGAGCAAGACACGGAGAGGCCCAGGGAAGGGCGTAGACACCGAAGAAACAGGCAAGCTCAAGATGAGGCCCCTATCCACGAGATAGATACCATGTTTGGAGGACCTTATGTCGGCGGTGAAACACGGAACGCCAAAAGAAACTATGCTAGGGAGGCTAAGCACCCCCCTCTGACAAGTTATATTGTGGATAATAGCTCTCGGAGAAATCAAGCATCACCCATTGTCTTCACCCAGGAAGACGCCGAAGGAGTTCATTACCCCCACTGCGATGCGCTGGTGGTGAGGGCTGTCATAGCCCGAAATGGACTCAAACGAATGCTAGTCGACAACGGCAGCTCCGTCAACATCTTATTCGGGTCCGCCTTTGACAAGATGATATTGGACCACCAGTTGACGCCCACCACCACTCCATTGTACGGATTTACCGGAGATAGCATCACGCCGAGGGGAAAGATAACACTGGCAGTAGAGATGGGAGAATCTCCTCAAACTACGATGAACTTTATGGAGTTCCTCATAG